GGGGGGCGGGTGTGGGGGGAGGAGGGGGAGGAGGAGGAGGAGGGGGAGGAGGAGGAGGAGGAGGAGGAGGGGGAGGAGGACGAGGAGGAGGAGGGGGAGGAGGAGGAGGCGGAGGAGGAGGAGGATGAGGAGGAGGAGGAGGAGGAGGAGGAGGACGAGGAGGAGATCCAGCCCGGATCAAGAAGATCTGCGCGGACCTGGGACCGGCGGGCGCCGCTCCCGAGGGCCCGCTCCGAAGGTAAGAGTACGACGCGGTCAGCGCCTGAGGGGGTGACAGTCAGGAAGGGAAAAAGCACACACAGACACAATTCATCGGCGATTCCCCAGAAAATGTGGGACAATATGGGAAGTGTGGAGGGGGGAAGACGAAAATCCCAAAAACATGCAGAAATATTGGGAATCCTGCTCTTTGTGTGTATCTATTGGTGTGTCCCGGGGCCCCTTCTCACACAGCACTGCCCCGTCCTGGGAGCGCGGCCGGCTCCCGGGGCCGCGAGCGCACGGCTGCGGGCCCCCCCCCCGGCAGCACTTCCGGGAGAGAGGGGGGCTCCACGGCGTCTCCCCACTCACAGGAGCCTTTTCAAGGGGGGGGGGCTGAGAGTCGGGCGAAGAGAACTACGCACATGCACCGATCCTGGCAAGGCCCATCCTTGACCCAGGATCGGTGCATATGCCTTCCTGGCCAAGGTAGGAGGGCGTATGCACCGATCCTGGGCTCAGGATGGGCCTGGCCAGAATCGGTGTATGTGCATAGTTCTTTTTCCTCTAGCTGAGAGGGGACTCCTGGTTTCTGACCCCCCCCGCTGAATGAACAGTTCGGGGCCAGCCACGGTGGATCGCTACCTAGGGGAACAAAAGGTGTCATAAACATAATGACTCGGAGGTCCGCGCGGATTTCTCGGATCGGCGCTGGGGCCCCCCGGCGGCGCCTCCGGCGCCGCCCCTGGCGCGCTCCGCGCGCCAGAGAGGGGGGTCCGGCGCCGATCCGTGTAATCCGCGCGGGGCTCCGAGTTTTTATGTTTATGCCACTTTTTGTTCCCCTAATCGCGCTCCCTCGATGGGGTTCTAACCCCACGAGGGGCGTTACACCAGAAGATTCTTCGTCGGATGTGCCTTCTGTGGCGGGGATTCCCAAGACCGACGCTGTCTGTCCGCCCGCCGACTAGGGCTTTCACGAGACCCGAGAGGGCCCAAAGCCTCGCCAAGACCCCGAAAGCCCAATCTTTGATCCTTGGTCCACATGCCGGGTGTGATCTGCTTGTTTGTGGATGAGGATGAGGAGGCGGAGGAGGAGGAGGCGGAGGCGGAGGAGGAGGAGGAGGAGGACGGGGAGGGGGAGGAAGGGGAGGAGGAGGAGGAAGAGGACGAGGAGGAGGAGGAGGAGGAGGAGGAGGAGGAGGAGCCTTGTTCCAAGGCCGTCGTGTTCTTACTCATCATCGGGTTTGCCTTCAGCGGCGGCAGCGGGCAGGCCCCGCCCTCCGTGCCGCGCTCCGCTTACCTCGCTGCCGCTGCTGCGCTCCGCAGCTGGCAGACCTTCGGCTGTCTACTCTACCCTGGCCTCGCACGGCCTGCGTCGGCTGAGGGTCTCGGCTAACTGCTTTTCTGTGGGTTCGACGAGATTGGGGCCCGTTTCTTTCCTGCTTGGGGCATGACGGGCGTCCCCCCCCCATGACGTAACGCCCCCCCCCCCCAGTGCGCTCCAGGCACTGCCGCCGTGCGCATTGGGATCCGCGTATGCGTTTGCGTAGGAATCCGCATAGGTGTCTGGTCCGCAGTCGTGGTGGTGGTGGTGGTGGTGGTGGTCGTCGTCGTCGTCGTCCGTCGTCGTCGCTCGTGGTTCGTCGCTCGTCGCTCATCGTCGTCGTGCGCGCGGACGCGGCTGGAGCCTGTTTTTAAGTCCGGGCCGATGACGGCAATCATCTGGGGGGGGGAGGGGGTCGATGACGTCACGTTTCGCGCCGGCGGCGTCTGGGAATGCTTAGAAATGACGGAGGACGGGTAGCACGAACATGTAGGTGGCGATCTGCACCACAACGCCTGTGTACATCACAGTGCCCGCGTGCACCACAGCGCCTGTGTACACCACACCGCCTATGTAAACCACAGCAACCGCGTGCAACACAGCGTCAGTTTGTGCCACCGTGCCTGCGGGCACGGCAGCTCCTGTGTACATCACGGCGCCCCCGTACACCACATCAGCCGTGCGCAACACAGCATCAGTGTACACCACAATGCCTACGTGCATTGCAGTGCCTGTGTGCGCCACGGCGCCTGTGTGCACCACATCAGCCGTGTGCAACACAGCGCCGTTGTTGTGTATAGAATGTTAGAAGGAATCCTTGTGACAAAATGGAGCGCTTGTGGATTCCAGAGAAAACAGTGGAAAACAAATCCTTATGAACAAAGGAGCGCCGCTGGAATCTACGAGTCCCCCCGAGTCCACCCGCATCACCCTAACTCCCCTTTGCGTCCCGGAGGCTCCAGCTAAATTGGCCGTCCGAGAACCAACTGGACCGATTCAATCGACCATGATGCGGTGCACGGTGAGATGCGCACGTGCGCTGTAACGCCAAACCGCACGACAGGGGGTTAAGAAGGAGGAGGAGGAGGAGGAGGAGGAGGAGGAGGAGGAGGACGAGGAGGAGGAGGAGGAGGAGGAGGAGGTGGAGGAAAGGGGGAACACGTGGCATTCGATTATAAAAACTTTCCTGGCGTGGCGCTTAGTTGTCTGCAGCAGATCCTCTATGCACGCAGGCACTGTGGTGTACACTGGCGCTGCGTGCTGTAGACAGGCGGTGTGGCGTGCACAGGCGCTGCGGTGCACGCAAGCACTGTGGTGTACACAGGCGTTGTGTTGCACATGGCTGCTGCGGTGTATGTACATCGGGGCTGTGGTGCTCCCAAGTATAGTGGTATACAGGCGGTGCGTTGCACACGGCTGTTGCGGTGTACGCAGGCGCTGTTGTGCACACGCGCGGTGTGGTTCACGCGAGCGTTGTGGTGTACACAGGCGCAGTGGGCAGATCGCCACCTACATGCTGCTCGCGACGTCGTCGTCGTCGTCGTTGTCGTCGTCGTCGTCGTCGCCGTCGTCGTCGCTCGTCGCTCGTCGCTCGTCGCGTCGTGCGCGCGGGCGCGGCTGTGGTGCCCGAGCCACACGGCGCGGGGGGGCGTCACGTCTAACCCCCCCCGCCGCCCCCCCCCCTATGACGCCCGTCATCGCCGAACATAAAGAAACGCGCTCTGATTTGGTTCCATCAAATCATTCTGTGGTCGATCCCTGCTACCGGGGGGGCCGATTCCGGCGCAACCGGGGCCCCCCCCGTCGGCCCCGCGGCGGCCGGCGGAGCGCCCCGCGCGGCCAGCCGAGGCACGCCGCCCTCGTTCCTGCGGGGGGGGGTGGGGGGGGGCACGCACGCCGCGCTCGACGGCGGCCCCCGCGCCACGGCCCCTGCGCTCGCGCGCCTCGCGCCGCCGCTCGTGGCGGGGTCCTCCTCCTCCTCCTCCTCCTCCTCCTCCTCCTCCTCGTCTTCCTCCTCCTCCTCGTCCTCCTCCTCCTCCTCCTCCCCTCCTGCTCCTCCCCCTCCTCCTCCCCCCTCCTCCCCCTTCTCCTCCCCCTCTTCCTCCCCCCTCCTCCCCCTCCTCCTCCCCCTCCTGCCCCTCCTCTTCCCCATCCTCCTCCTCCTCCTCCTCCTCCTTCCTCCTCTCCTCCTCCTCCTCCTCCTCCTCCTCCTCCTCCCCCTCTCCTCCCTCCTCCTTCTCCTCCTCCTTCTCCTCCTCCTCCTTTTCCTCCTCCTCCTCCTCCTCCTCCTTCTCCTAGGCCTTCTCTCCCTCCTAGGCCTCCCAGATGGATTCCGAGCAAGACTCGCTCATTGTCGTCGTTTGTATGGGCACCTCCGCATATAATCGTTGGTGTTGTTTGTCGTTCGTCCCAGCGCGTCGACCCTGGGTCCCTGCCTCCGCTGCGAGCTCTTTTCGGGGCCCCATGGGCCGGCGGGCAAACCCTTGGACCAGATGCTGGCCCCAGGGAGCTCTCCAGAGCTCGTCCCTCCGCCCGAGATCGGTGAGATCTCTGGGTTTGGGGACTCCGTGCTTCTAGGCCTGCCAGATGAGGTTCGAGCACATGGGGCCGGAGGATCGCGCCGTCGCCGATGCGTCGGCGATGCGGCCCGATGTGGATCCCAATTTTTCCCCGGCGCCGACGTCGCCGATTCACCGCCGATGCATCGTCTATGAATCGCCGATGTGTCGCCAATGCATCGGCGATGCGGCGCAATCCTCCGACCCCATCAACTCGGACCTTAATCAGGACGTCTCTATCCACACTGACCCTGCAAGATTGCCTCCGCGCCGTCGCGCCCTCGGGGAGAGATGGGCTGCGCTGCCACAACCCCAGAGACCTGACGCGGCAGAAACGCGGCAGACAAACGCGGCAGAAACGTCGGAGCCGCGCACCCTATGTTTCAGCCCAAGTTAGCGAGCCGGACCGATCGGTGATGGTCCTGGGGCCCGGCACCAGGCGAAACCGCCCGTTGCGAAAACAAGCGTTGCACTGCCAGAGTCTCAGGTGACACGGCCCGCGCCCCTCGTCAGTCCCGCACACCCCCCTGCGGAGGAGCCGAGGATGCACGCTCCGAGCCGAGCCGCACCGAGCGCGCAGGGGCACCTCGCGCCTCGCAGGGCCTCCCCCGGCGCGCGAGCCCTCGCTCTCTGGCCCCGCCGCCGCCCTCGCCGCCGCCGCTGCCGATCGGTCCCGGCCTCGCTCAGCTTGCCTGTGCGCGAGAGCCGGGGGAGGCGCCGAGGAGGGGCGCGCGTTCCTGCTCGTACCGCTTGCCCGGCTGCGTGGCGCCTGTGGCGCCCTGTCTTGCCTTGCGGCGGCCGCGCCCGCCGTCGCCTCCCGCCGCGGCGGGCGCGGTCCCTGCGGCCGCCCCTGCTGCGCACTCGGTCTAGCCTGCCCCAGCTCTGGGCAGGGTGGGGCTGGGCATGCTTGGCTGTCGGGGAGGGGGAGGGAAGGACCGCGCGCGCACTCGCAGCACAACAGGGCGGCGCGAAAGCGGGGCGCGCCGGCGCGGCCGCCGCCCGCGCGGTCGCGGCCGCCCTGCCCGGTCCCCGCGGCTCGCATTGCCGACTGGCTGCTCTGAGGGTTGATGGCGATAGTGTTTGCTTGAGTTCTCGTCCAGGGTCCAGAGAAACCATCGTCAATGCGAGGGTGGCGACGATGATTCTGATGATGATGATGGTGAGGATGATCATGATGATGATCATGAGGATGATGAGGTTGTTGTTGTTGCTGTTGTTGTTGATGATGATGATGATGATGATGATGATGATGATGATGTCGACCGATGATTGTGATGATGATGGCATTGGTGGGGGTGACGGCGTCGGTGACGATGATGGTGATGATGGGTAATGATGCGACGATGGCGATGGCGATGACGATGCACATGACACGCACATTCTCTATGTTCAGTAGAGGCAATGGCCATGGCGGTTGTGGTAGCGATGATCTATCGTTGACGATGCTGAGTCAATTGGCGGCCGCGAGTAATCGTGATGGTGATGAGACTGGATACGCTGATGCCAAGTGTGGTAGTGATAGTGCTGGTGATGATGGATTTGATGATTACGAAGTCGATGGGAATGGCGATGGTACGGCCACCGGTGAGGATGGTGACGACGACGATGAAGATCATGATGCGACGATGCTGATGACGAAAGTGGTGATGGTGATGATTATGGGTGAGGTAAGGTGGTCATGGTGATGAGGATGCTGCTGATGCTGATAGTGTTGATGATGATGATGATAATGATGATGATGATGATGATGATGATGATGATGATGATGATGATGATGATGATGATGATGATGATGATGATGACGATGATGATGATGATGATGATGATGATGATGATGATGATGATGATGTTGACGTTGGTGCCGTTGAACCCTCATGTGTGCAGGATGACTTTTGCTGATCCCTCACCCTTGTGCCCTTTTGGTTTTCTAACCAATATAAGTTTTATTCCCGGGGTGCGCCTTTTTTGTTTTACAAGCGGGGGCCTTGGCGCTCAGACTGTTCTCTATGTCCCCGGTTTGCACCAACAGCGGCTCTCTCTTGATACGTCCTCACCTTTCGTATTATCAAACTGCGTTCTCGCGCAGGGCGTCCTCGCAATTTATCCAGCGATCACGCTTTCGCGTGCGACCCTTTTGCAACTTTTTCCGACGCCGCGCCTTCGACAGTCAGGAACCATATTTTCGCTCGGGTTTTTCACGATTGACGTGGGAATCGCGCTGTCGCTCGAGATTTCATCGCGTTTCATGCAGGACTCACGCTTTAGCAACCCGTGTGCTCGACCTGGCCGCGTGGGCCAGCCGCCAGCCTTTCCGACCCGTTCGTCAGGGTCTACCCGCCCGAGTGTCCCATCCAGTTTTGCCACGTGTTTTCTGGTTAGAACCCCATCCAGCTATTTTTTGTCCATGCTTCATCCTTTCCCTTCTCCCTTGTCCCGTCCTTACATCCGTTTCTCCTTTGATGTTTCATGGGCTGCGCCCCCAATACACCAAGGTAAGGACGGCATACCTCCAAATGGGTAGTGGGTACGTTTGAAGACGAACATGGCGGGTATCCAGGGTTTGGGATATACATGCTGATGGGCACATGTGCGTATACGAGCGAACAGTATTACAATGATTGCTGTTGTTGCGAATGATGTTGGTGGCTGTGATGACGATGGCGATGACGATGATGAGGAGTGAGCCCTCCCGGCGCATTGTCGCCCGCGCCGCGAGGGGTCGCCCACTCCCACGCCGCCGGGGGAGCCTCCGGCCATCTCGCCCGCCGACATGGAGCGCTTCAGGCCGCCGGGGGGGGGCCGTGGAGGCAAGGAAGGTGCGCGGCCGACGTGGGGAGGGCGGGGAGGGCGGGGTCGAGGGCGGGAGGCGGGGCCGCGAGCGGCCTGGCCGAGCCCTGGGAGACCTAGCTCAGGCGATCGCAAACATGGATCAAGGGGGCGTGGACTAGCGACGGGTTCCGTTTTCATGGGGGATCGCTGATTTCCGCCGCCGAACGAGACGGCACCTGCCGCATTCTGGGGAGGGCACCTCCCGCGATCCATGGATTTGGCGACCGCGCGCCGAATCCATGGGTCGCGAATCTATGCTTGCGCGCCCCCGACTACCCCCCCCCCTTGGCGAGCCCCTAACCTCCTCGCTCCACGACGTGAGCAAGCGGCCGGAAGTCAAGGGAGGAAAACCAACCCGGACCGGACAAATTGGCGTTTACTAAACGGCCCTGGGCGTTTATTAAACGGCCCTGCCCTGTTCGATTCCTTCTTTGGGCGCGTTTACTCAAGGCCTCGCGTGTCGCGTTGGTTATTATCGGGGTGGATTTGTGCGTTTTCTGCCCTCTAGGAAGGGGGGCCCTCGAGGGCGATGGGGCTCGCGTCCTGGCGGTCTGCCAGGGCGGGGGGGGGGAGAGTCCGGGGCGCACTCCTGCGGCATCCGACGGGCCCCGCCGCGCGCTGTGGGGCCGTGGGAGGCGGGCCGTCTGGGCGTGTGGGCCGCTCGAGCTGGGAGGAGGTGGAGGGAGGAGGGGGCGAGGGAGGGGGGTGTCCCCCCTACCCCTAAGTGCGACTTGGATGGGCCCCCTGTCTTTCCTCTTCGTACCTCCGCCTCTCTTGCTCGGCCCGTGTATAGCCGCTTTGGCTTTGACGCTTGCGTGTTGTAGCGCTCATGTGTCCCAAAATAGGGGGGGATGGGGGAGAGGGGAGGAGGAAAAGGGGGGCGGGAGGAGAGGGAGGAAAGGAGGGCGCGAGCAGCAGGAAGAGGAGGAGGAGGCGGTGGAGGAGGAGGGAGAGGAGGAGAGGAGATGCAAGGACGAAGATGGTGATGATGATGATGATGATGATGATGCTGATGCTGATGCTGATGCTGATGCTGATGCTGATGCTGATGATGATGCTGATGCTGATGCTGATGCTGATGCTGCTGATGCTGCTGATGATGATGATGCTGATGATGATGATGATGCTGATGCTGATGCTGATGCTGATGCTGATGCTGATGCTGATGCTGATGATGATGATGATGATCATGAGGAGGAGGAGGAGGAGGTTGAGGAGTAGGAGGAGGAAGTTGATGACGATGACGATGCCGATGCTGATGCGGATTTGGATGCTGATGCTGCTCAAGATGATGCTGATGATGCTGATGATGCTGCTGATGCTGCTGATGATGGTGATAGTGATGCTGATGGTGATGATGATGCTGCTGATGATGCTGATGATGGTGATCGTACCGTTGATGATTGTCGCCGCTGATGATGGTGATGATAATGATGTTGCTTGTGGTGGTGATGATGATGCTGATGGCGATGGGAATGATGATGAACATGATGCTGATGATGATGATGCTAATGATACAGATGCTGATGTTGTTGCTGATGCCGACCATGCTGATGCTGATGGTGGTGGTGGTGATGATGAGAATGTTGATGCTGATGTTGATGATGATGATGGTGATGATGATGATGATGATGCTGATGATGATGCTGATGATGATGATGATGATGATGATGTTGCTGCTGCTGATGATGGTTATTCTGATGATGATGACACCATGATGATGATGCTGACGCTGATGCTGCTGTTGATGATGTGGCGACGACGACAATTATGATTACGATGACGACGACCATGAGGAGGAGGAGGAGGAGGAGGAGGACAGGGACTAGTGATGATGATGCTGCTGATAATGCTGCTCATGATTCTGATGACGATGATGCTGATGCTGATTCCAAAACTGATGTGAATATTGACGCGGATGATGATGATGATGATGATGATGATGATGTTGATGCTGATGATGATGGTGATGGTGATGGTCATGGTCATGGTGATGTTGATGTTGTTGATGATTATGCTGCTGATGATGATAATGATGCGGATGCTGATGATGATGACGCAGACGATGCTGATAATGATGATGCTGCTGATGATGATGACGATGACAATGATGATGCAAATTATGATGATGATCATACTGATGATGATGATGATGATGATGATGATGGTGATAATGATGATGGTGCTGGTGATGGTGGTTGTGATGATGATGGTGATGGTGATGGTGATGATGAAATGACGATGACGATGCGGCTGATGATGATGCTGATGTTGATGCTGATGATGGTGATGGTGATGGTGATGGCGATGGTGGTGGTGATGATGATGATGGTGGTGATGATGATGATGATGATGATGATGATGATGATGATGATGCTGTGGACGAGGAGGAGGAGGAGTGAGTGGAGCAGGAGGAGGGAGGTGGGGGGAAGAATGAGGCAGGGGGAGCGGGAGATCAGCTAGCGCCCCTCTCTTGCCCCCTCCCTCATGCCCACCCTTTCCTCCTCTTGGGGCCTTCCTCTTGCCCATCGTCCTAGACCTCCAGCGTCATGTGTGTTTTATTTTTCGTGACACAGTTCGCCCTTGGGCGCTCGACCCCATCCCCAGGACCCTGTTGTCCTCCTTGGTATTGGATGGATGCCCCCCGGGCCCGCTTTGGGGCTCCAAGTTCGGAGCTCAAGAGACGGGGGTCAGCCAGAGCGCCGGATCTTGCAGGATCTTTGCAGGGCCAGGGGTCGCTCTGACCCGGGCTTGGGTGCAGGATCCCGCAGGAGCTTTCAGGATCCCTCGCATTGACCCGGGCTTGGGTGCAGGATCCTGCAGGATCCTACAAGATTCTGCAAGGCCTGACTGATCCGGGTCTGGATTGACCTGGGTGAGAAGATCCCCGACGAGTGGTCCCCCCAAGCCAGGATTCTCCGCCGCCGCGCTCGCTTGTTTGTGACTCCTGCGCCCCCCTGCCACATCGGGTCGGCCCTCCCGGCTCGCCTGCCCCTGCGCCGCCCCTGCTTGCGTGGGCCGCAGATCCGTCGTGGACAGCGCCTGCGAGAAGCAGGTGTACAAGAGCCCCTCCGAGCTCACTCACCTGGAGGAGCGCTGCCGAAGGAGGAAGGGGGGGAGAAGGAAGAGGAGGAACAACGAGGAGAAGGGGATACTACGTGGATGAAGATGATGGTCCTCAGGGTCAGAGGCGATGCTGCTAATCAGGATAGTGCTTGTGATGCTGATTGCTGGTGGTGGTTGTGTGTAGTGTAGTAGTTTTGTGAATGCCTAAAGCCTGAGACACATCCAGATTACCTCGTCCCCCCAGGATCCCGAGTGCCATGAATTTGCCGCCGCAATGATTTGTTACCGTTCCCCCATGGAGGTTTCCGACTGCCAGCCAAAAGCACGACGGTTGCGAATGTGCGGCTCGGAGACGCATGAAGGCCTTGACAATTTGAGGTTTCGGGGGAGCGCTGCGACAGTCGCGGGGGTTACCTTGGGGGTCCTGTGTGTCCCAGCTTCCTTCTGTGCAGCATGGCTTCTACAGCGCCCAGGCATAACCATCGAGCTAGCTCCCCGAGCATATTGTCTACATGGCTTTGATACATCATCATTGGATATCATTGGTGATCACGGTGACGACGAATACTGATGATGCTGATGTTGCTGATGATGATGGTGGTGGTGGTGATGTAGTTTATGATCTCGACGATGCTGAAGATGGTGATGATGATTATGATGATGGTGATATTGTTGGGGGTGGTGGTGAAGATGGTCACGTTGATAATATTGTGCTGGCCTCCGGCCAGTCCCGCCGATCCGGGGCGCTCTGGATAATGATGAGGATGACGATGATGATGATGATGATGATGATGATGATGATGATGATGATGGTGGTGGTGGTGGTGGTGGTGATGATGATGCATATGATGATTATGATGACGGCGATGTCGATAATGATCATGTTGATGCTGATTATGATGATGTTTGTCATGGTAACGACCATGGTGAAGAGCATGAAGATAGTGATGACGACGAAGTTAAGCAGGATTGTGATTCTGGTGATGGTGATGGTGGTTGTGATGATGATAGCGGTGTGGCCACAACGATGTTGATAAAGATGACGGTCGTGCTGATGTTGATGATTTGAATTCTCAGGGTACTAAGGGTGGTGCAGTTGGTGAGGACGGCGATGGTGATGTTGATGATGCTGATTATGTCGATGATGAAGTTGGTGGTGGTGATGATGATATTGATGATGGTGATGATGGTGATGATGATGATGATGATGATGATGATGATGATGATGTTGTTGTTGATGTTGTTGATGATGATGATGATGATGATGATGATGATGATGATGATGACGTTGACCTTGGTGAGGGTGGTGGGGATTTTGATGACGACGGTTATGATGAAGTTGATGAACAGGAAGGGGTAATTAGGCCATCATATGCTGAGTCTTACGTCTCCACATCTTGTGGAACTCATAAGGGGCCGTCGTGGGGCTGTTTATGGTATTTGTGAGGAGGGAGGAAGAGGATGGAGGAGGGAGGACGGGGGAGGAGGCAGGAAGGAGGAGGCAAGAGGTTGGCGGGAGGAGAGAGGAGGGCGGAGGGAGACAGGAGGAGGGGAGGAGGGGAGGGAGGGAGGGATGCGGGAGGAGGGACAGGTGAAGGAGGAGGAGGAGGAGGAGGAGGAGGAGGAGGAGGAGGAGGAGGAGGAGGAGGAGTAGAGAGGAAGGAGCATGAGGAGGGAGGGGGAGGAGGAGGAGGAAGAGGAGGAGGAGGAGGAGGAGGAGGAGGAGGAGGAGGAGCAGGAGGAGGAGGAGGAGGAGGAGGAGGAGGAGGAGGAGGAGGAGGAGGAGCCTCTTGAGAACCTCGTGAGGGGAAAGGCTGGGATTTTCGGTTCTGGCTACCCCTCTAGGGCCTCTCCTTGGGCCGTCTTGGAGTCCTCTTGGGCCGGCTTGGCGCTTCTTGGGCCGTCTTGGCGCCCTCTTGGGCTGTCTTGGGGTTGTCTTGGGAGCCTCTTGAGCCGTCTTGACGTGGTCTCGGGGGCCTCTGGGACCGTCGGTAACGTCGTAAACATGCACATTTACCCATGGGAATTCGACGATTTGGACCTCGTGGGTCTCTCTTCGCAGGTGGTTGGGTACCTATTGGGGCGTCTTGGAGGCGTCTTGTGAGCACGACATGCGTCGGGAATGGCGTTTAGAATGGCGTCGGCCCCCTCACCCTCCATGGTTAGTGCGTCGGAACGGCGTCAGGAATGGTGTGGCCCCCCCCGCCCCCGAGCACTAAATGCGTGGGGAATGGCGTCGGGAATGGCGTTCCCCCCTCCCCCCCCCTTGCAGAGCGAAGCTCGAGCGAGCTCAAATCCACACTCTCAGAAACGCACGCGCCGCATCGGCGGATTAGCCACGGATACTGCTGAGGATTATGCTTTCAAGGATGATAATGTTTTGGCGGTGATTGTGATGATGAAGTTGATGATGCTGATGATGATAACGGTGTTGGTGCTGCTGTTGCTGATGAGGTTGAGAATGAAGATCGTGATGGCGACGATGATGGTGATGATGATGAACAGATGGATGAGGAGTAGGATGAGGAGGATTATACAGATCTTGATGATGAGTTTGCCGCTGCTGATGATGTTGATTGCGACGGCAATGATATTTATGATGCTGATGGTGATGCTGGTGATGATCGGGATGGTGCTGATGATGATTCTGATACTGATGCTGACGCTGGTGATGATGCTGATGATGATGGTGATGGTGATGGTGATGCTGATGGTGATGGTGGCGAGGATGATGAAGTGGAGGAGGAGGAGCAGCAGGAGGAGATGGATCATGTGACGATGGGGATACTGGCGATCGTGATGGTTATGGTAGTGGTGGTAGTGACGATGGGGGTAGTGATGATGGCTGTGAGGGTGATCGTGATGTGTCATCCCACCTCAGGTGTGCCAGGTCCCCTCCTTCGGCATCCTCTTCCACTGCGGCGAGCGCCCGCTGGAAAGGCGAGGGCCCCATGGGCCTGCACGGTGAGAGCCACACGGTGCGTTCTTCGTTGCGCATCGGCGCTGCTCCCCCTTCCTGCCTCCTCCCTGCTCCTGCTCCTCCCTCCTCCTGCCTCCTCCTGCCCCTCCTCGTCCTCTGGTTTCTTCCTCCTCATCCTCCCCCTCCTCCTCCTCCCCCTCCTCCACCTCCTCCTCCTCCTGCTCCTCCTCCTCCTCCTCCTCCTCCTCCTCCTCCCCCTCGTATCTTTTGGCTAAGTCGGCGTTGGGTAATCCGTTGGTAATCCTTCACTAGTTTGCTCTCTCCTCCTCTTTTTCCCTCTCCCCTTCCTCCCCCTCTCTTCTGCCGTCTCCTCCAGTCCGCTGCCTCTTGCGCGTCCAACTCCGCGCGGTCGCGTTGCATTTCGGTCGCAATGCGTTGCAGCGCAGTCGAATCGTTGCAGCCACGCCGGGTAGGGTAACGGGTTACCCCTCGTCCATGGAGCCGGTCTTTTTAGCCTCCAGAAGCTCGGGGAGGGAGCGCCGATGACACCCAGTGCGGCGCGCCACGGATATTGTTTTTGCTGCCCCGGGAACGCGCGCAGCGATGGATCGAGTGCGCCGATCGAGAAAAATAGCCGTCTTCCATCCGAGCTGCCGCTAGCAAGGCCTGAGGACCCGAGGGCCCGACGATGTTTCGTGCGCGAAATCGGCCGTGGAAGAAGAAACCTGCCCCAGTCCGCGCAAGGTGTCGGTGATGTTTGCGTCGGGAAATGTCACGCGACTGCTGCATTTTGAGAGGGTGCCGCCGTCCACTTTTGTGGGCCATGGGGACCAGAGGCTTTATTAACACTTGTTCGAGGACGCCTTGGGGGATTGGCGCGACTTGAAACACGTGCAGCTTCCCATCCTGGTAGAAATTGAAGACGCACGGTTCATGTTGCGCCCAAGCATCGCGTGCATTTTGAACACACTCGCCCTTCCATCCGCGCATATGCGCGGAAGTTTGTTGCACGGGTATGCTCGGTGGTCGGACGATGACCACGCTCCCAACACGAGCCCCGCGTCGCTGACGCGACATTTCAAGATAATTGCGCGGGGCGCCATGGCGACAACGACGTTGTGAACGTACACCCCACCCGCATGTGCAACCGCGCGAAAATTTGGGCGATTGCGCGGCGCATATATTCTCGCCAGACGGATGTCTGCGGCACGTGGCCGTAAAAGGCCTCCGAACGTTGCCGCCGGCGGCCAGCGAGAGGGGGAGGCGAGAAGGAAGGGGCCTTTTTCAGAAGGCGGCGGGACCGCTCAGAGGCCTTCGCGATTGCTGAGGGTTTTTTCCTGTGTCGCCGAGGAGGGCTCAGAGATCTGCTCAAAGGGCTGGGGGCTTTCCGAACGTTTTGAAAAAAAAAACGCCCCTTCTCACTTCCTCTCTGGGCTAGCCGCCGGGACCCGTGTTCGCCTGAATTCGGGTTCGTCGGCGTTTTCTTGCAAGCTCGTCCTGTCAGCATTCGTGCGACACTTGCAGCGGGAGCGCGCGTCATGTGTTCCAGACGGGGTCTTTTCATCTTCCCGATGGCTCCGCCTGGCCAGCCCGAACCCCAGAACCAGTATGTTACGTCTCCCCGACGTTTCTGCTTACATTGGGAAGCGAAAAATGACATAAACATAAAAACTTGGATGTCCGCGCGGATTTCTCGGATCGGCACTTGGCCATCCCGGCGGCGCCTCCGGCGCCGCCGCTGGCGCGCTCCGCGCGCCAGGGAGGGGGGTCGAACGCCGTTCCGAGAAATGTTCGCGGACGTGCGAGTTTTTATGTTTTTGTCATTGTTTGGTCCCCTAGCTCCGTCCGGTCAACCCGAGTCCCAGAACGTGTGTCACGTCTCCCCGACGTTTCTGCTCACAGTGGAGGTGCGCACCAAGAAGCCACATGCATTTCGCCAGGGTGCCCTGGGCTTTTCCGCCCCCCGCGCGCTGCGCGGTGGCTCTCCGCGGGCGCCAGACAAGCTGCTGCGCTGGGGGTGCTCCTAGGCTTGCCCCGTGCGCACCTCGCGCGAGGGCTCTCGGGGCGGGGATTCTTGCTGGGGGTTCTTGCGATCGCGTCCGCAC